TTGTTTTCGCTGCTGCCTGAATTGTTTGCTTGGCTGTCCCACACAAGCTCCATCGCGCAGAAACCCTAACCCTACTTACTAGGTATAACAGCACTAAGTTTTGCTGAATAGACAGACAAAACGCTCAGCGTCGCTGCGCAGAGTATATATGAATTGAGTTTGTATGAGGTATTTTTTAATTTAGGCGTAAAGTAATGGCGGGTTGGTGGTGTTAGGGTAACGCGGGGGACCACCAAAGCAGATCGCTTAAAAGGGGTCAAACCCTAACGCTAAGCCTCTTTTGCCGCGGTTCGGTGTCCTCCCCGCGCCCTTATCTTGGCTAGGCATCTTGCTGTCCTTACAACTACTACCCTCCTTTTTAGTAATTAAGTTAGATACCTTACTAACTGTTAGGGTCTCCTCTGCGCATATGTACTGCCTCTTATAGGTCTTGCGCTTTGTAAGCGTGTTAACAGCGTCTTAAAGGTGGCCTATTTCCTCCTGTACTAACACTATATTATAAGCTATCTACTAAGCGCCTTTACTTAGCTGCTTAACCTGCTTATCTAATAAACTTGCTAGAGACCCCTAATAGTTTTGTATGCAATTTCAAATTAGCGTGGATTGCGCCTCTATCTCGCGGGCGTTGCGTGGTGTTTGCGCCTCCTAGGCAACAGTGCCTGGTGCAGGTGGCGTTAGCGTGCGCAGCTGTACATCAAGCTTTGATAACACAACCTTAGGGTTATACAGGACTAGTCTAGCGCCTCAAAACCCTGCGTGAATGTTCTCTAGTGTAAATATCTTCTTAAAAGCTACTTTAAAGGCTAGGAGGAAGGTTTCTTTGTTAATATAGTAGATGCAGCTGTGTGCCAAGAGCAAGATCCTGTCGCTGTAGTGGCGCTTTAACAGCGAGTAGGGGACAACGTCAAGAGGCTGCAGGATGTGTGATAAGTGTGGTGGCATGTAGAGAGTGATAATCTTGTTCTCCTTGCAGTAGTCCTGGAATTCTATCGAGCAGTGGCTCTTATAACTGTTAATAATGAGCAGCCTATACGCCCTAGCAGAGGACGCCTTTGTATAGACGTCGAAATGCTTAAGCCACGCCAGCACGACATTGTTATTAGTCTAGCTAGTAGGAGAGACTATAACAACCTAGTTGCGAGGTAGACTAGTAAACTAGGAGGAGATAAGGACCTTGCCTGCAAAGATAAGGAAGGGTAGGATTATATACCCTATTACAGCAACACCTTATACTAGGGTAACCTACTTGCAATTGCTAGGTTGTAGTTTCTTCTATTTCCTAGGTTTCTCTAAGCCTGTAATAATAAGCTAAGAGGATATCTTGCCTATTATAAAGCTAGACTTATTAAAGTTCTAGGTGTCCTTATCTATAATACTATACTTCGCCTTTGTTGATTGAACTAGGCTGAACTATGGCTAGATAATCGCTAGGTCCTCGCAGGCAGCTTGCTGGTGATTATACGGACGGCTCTATTGCGTTCGCAGCTCTGGTGTACGCTTAATGAAGTTATCAACCCAGTTCTTGCCTGTAGGCTTCCCACCACGCTCTCTTAGCAGTCTATTAGCCATATCTCGTACGTGCACCTTTAAGGGCGGTATTCCACGTAAACTCTCTTTAAGTATATGCTGTATAATTGCCTCCTCTTCTAGCTTTGTAAGGCGTTTTAATTTTAGCTTGCAATTGTGTTAAGAGCGTGTTCTATTACATTGTTGTTGTATTGTAGTTTAAGGGACCTTATAGACTTTCTTAGCAAGCTGTATACTCTTAATCTGCTCTTCTTAAAGATCTAAGATAGCAAGCTGTACGTCAGCTTCAGTATAGAGTCTCTGGGTTTGGTGTTGTTGAGGCATTACGTGTTGTCGCTGCGCAAGCGTTTTGGTGGGGAGAGTGCGCCGCTCGCTTGGGTGCGCCGCTCGCTTGTGAAGCACGTTATAGAGTTTTTGTAGGTTGCAAAAGATAGAGGTAAGCTATAATAGGTTAGTTTAGGGGATTAATTAGGGGCTAGAGTCCCAAAAGAGCAACACGAGAAGGCAGATCAACGCTAAAACAATGATCGGACCGGAACACGAGCGTTCGCTGAAAGGTAGGCTTGAAAGGCATCTCTGGCGGATCCATCAGCGAGAAGGCAACGCTGTCAATTGAGGCAAACACGCCAACATCAGCGACGCAAGTGGAGGAGATTAAAGACAGCGAGCTGGAAGACGGCGAAGATGGTGACAACCACAGCGTCGAGCCTACGCCCTCCTGAAGGACTACAAACAGCCCTGCGGCCGCCTGTGCAATGCGCTAGCTTACCTTGATCGAGCTCTGTAAGCCTTTTGCAGGCACGTAGTGTGCTGTAATTGTAACGGGCTAGGTCCGTACTAAGGTCTCGGCACCGGAGGCCTCGATCGCCGGAAGCTAACAAACGCACAAGCAGAAGCTGCCGAAACTCGGCACCGGAGAGTTTCGGCGCTCGAGCTCCACACCGGTGATTATCGGCACTCGAGCTCCACACCGGATATTATCGGCATACAGACTCCGTGCTGGAGAACAAAACCTACTAGAAGTCTCCGAGCCGGAGCCTGCATCATTTCCATCTGAATCTTACTTGCACTTAGCCCTCAGCGGCCAGCTTCTTTACAGTAATTAATTGCTCTGTGCTGTGCATTTAGTGTGTTACTTTCTTGCATTAGTGTTTACAGTGTTAATATTCTGCTGTGTTAATGCAGTTGTTGTCCGCGCGCTACTAGCGCAACCCTAACCACAACAACAAACCCTACCCCTATAATTTACTAAGCTAATTTCCCTACAACTTACACAGGTAATGCTAGACATTATTATAAAATATATGTCTAAGTTTAAAGCAGATCTAATCTATTATTATAGAATAACTATAGTTAGGAGAAAAACTAACTATACCTAACGTACCCCACGGGCGAGCGAGCCAACGGGCGAGCGAGCCACTTTTGCCAAGCCCCCACCAAAACCTGACCTATTATGGCCTAAAACACCACACTTTGGCACTCTGTGGCAGACTACGGCATATAATATTACTTAGAGACTACTTCTACATTAATCTTGCACGTTCGCGCGTTGTGGCTAGTCTGATTGCACCTTCTGCAGCGCCTTTGGGTTGGCTCACCCTCTTGAGCGCGCACCCGCTTCTTTGGCTTCTTCCTATCACCACGCGCCCTAAACTCCTTTAGAGCTGCTAGTTGCTGCCTATCTCTAACTATTAGGGTCCCTTCCTTCTAAACCTACTTTCTTTTGTGTAATTTTTGTTGCGTGGTGGCCTTATTAGCTGCTTAAAGCTTGCTAATTTCCTGTTAGGCTAAAACTAGCTTGTAGGATAAAATTGCTCCCCCCTTTGCGTAGTGCTCAAGCGCGCTTAGAATAGAGTCTAGTAAGCTACCCTGCTGCTTCTTATACTTCTCTTAAATTAGAGTTAATTGCAACCTAAATTCTAGGGTATTGCTAGGGGTTTGCAACTGCTAGGGCTTGCTGTTAGTAGGGAGTAGTAGTGATAGAGTCTACAGCTTTATATTAAGGGTTGAAATAACCTGTTCTAGGTTAAAGGGGACTAATCTAGCACCTTAGAACCCTCCTTAGATATTGCTAGGAGTAAACACTACATTGTAGGCTGCTTTAAAGCATAGGAGGAACTTAGTCTTTGTAAGGTAGGTAATCTAGTTGTGCATAAGCATTTTAGCTTAGCGCCTATACGCTAGCTTTAAAGGGGCAAAACAACCTATATTAAGTAGCTATAGGAGGTGTGATAAGTGCAGAGGCATACATATAGTAACAATCTTGTTATCCTTGCAGTATTGCTAGAATTAGAGCGAGTTGTGGCTCTCGTGGCTATTAATAACTAGCAGTTAGTAGGTACTAACAGTTCGCCCCTTTGTATGCGTATTAAAGTGCTTTAACTACTTAAGACTAAGCTTATTAGTAGTCTAGCTATTACTAGAGACTCTAATAACCTAATCCTAGGGCAGGTCTTCCTCCTTGTACTAGCTAGAGAGGTGGTGGTGTGCCTTGAAGATAATGAAGGGTAGAATAGCCTATCCTTTTGCATTAATGCCCTGTATAACTATTGTCTACTCCTAGTTGCCTAGCTAGACTGTTTTTAGCCTTCCTAGTCTCTCTAAAGCTGTAACAACTGCTCCTAAGGAGATCTAGCCTATTATAAAGCCTGTCTTATTAAAGTTGTAGGTATTATTATCCTAGATGCTATACTTGGCTTTAATGTTGGCTACTAGGCTAAACTAGCCCTGCATAACCCCTAAATCCTCACAGAGGGCTCGCTTGTAGTCATACTTGCGATTACACTTTACTTTAAGCTCTAGTTGACGCTTAACAAACGTACTAGGCTAGTTTACGCTAACAGGGCCCAGATTGCGCTCAGCGCGCAGAGAATTGGCCATAGCAGCCACATCTGCAAGCTGGGGGCCAAATCCTCGCGCGTCTAGCTCAAGTATGTGCTTAATAATTACCCTCTCCTTATTATTATCTAATCCTTGTAAGTTAGGCATGGTATTGCCTCGTGAAGGTTGTCTAGTGTGTTGATGGCTTAGCGTGCTTTGAGGCACTTTATAGATAGCTGCAGCGCGTCGCTGGGAGAGATTCGCGTCTTGTTTAAGAGCTTGAAGCGCAAGCTGTACCTAAGCTTCTTAAGACGCGTTAATAATAGGTTGTTGTTGAGACATTGGTATAGAAAGGGTACTTTGGTAGGGGCTTGGCAAAAGTGGCTCGCTCGCTCGCCCGTGGGGTACGTTATAATAAGATATCTACGCAAAATCTGTAGCCCTAGTCCCTAACAAATCTGTACCCCTAAATCAACCATTGGAATGGTTGGCTTACCCATCTGGGTTAGGCTCTGTGAGCGCAGATGTGTGAGCAGGCTGCTATTAACAGCGTTGTTAAGTTGTTAAAAGATCTTCTATTGCTATATTGTTAGGCTTAAGCTCCTTAGGAAATGCTAGAAGCTTAACAACTTCTACAATTACTAATTTGTAAGTATATCCTTGTAGTTCTTTATAGAACTTTATAGGTTTAAAGACAACATCTTATGTGTGTATAACCTAGTCCTTAGTAGGAAGCTAGATCCTAAAGATATTAGTTAAGTTATAGCTAACAAGGTAGCCTATAAGCTCTCTTAATTTAAGCTTGTCTGCGCGTTTAAGGAATTAATTAAGGACATATACCTAATAGCCTATTAGTTGCATATGTTGAACCTTTAGCTTTGTTTTCTAAACTATTTTATATAGCATTTTCTATTGTAGTGCTTCTATTGGCGTATAATTTAGCACATATGCTGCTGTTTGAATTAGCTTGTGAGACAGTGACTTTAGCAGTCCTGCCTGAATCCTTATGGCTCTAGCTTAGATGACAAGCATCGATCCTGCTTGCTCTGCCAGTCTGTTCTATTCTTCTGTGTACTCTGCTCGTGGCTTATATTAAATACCAAGGTCTTTGCAGAGTTCCTCTAGGAAGTTTAGTAATGTGCTATATCTACAGTTATTGTCTGTCTTAACAGCTCTTACATTGCAGTTAAACACTTACTATATACTATATAGTTACGTCTTAAACTAACTATTAACTTAGGAATAGTTTTAATTACTATAGGAAGGTTAACATTTTATGCTATTTTAAGTATTAATTAATAGAGTGTCTAGCCTATTAATTACTATTTAAGTAGGCTTCTCCTAAAGGTATTAATTAGATAATATTAATAGAGATTTAATAGAAGGGCCTCTAAGCTTAGTCTTCCTATTATCTTTAAGATATCTATTTTATTAACTTTAACTCTATATAAATAGTACAGAATCTTTTATTATTACCTTCTATAATAACCTGTTTTATCAGTGAGCGCCCCACCTCAGTGAGCGCCCCACGAACACCAGCGAGGCGTACGCGCAGCGACGTAGCTTAGCACCACAACACAAATTTTGTACTCTTGCAACAGTATAGTATTATTTAGAAGTATTTCTGTTATTTATATCCTTAATTTCTACCTTGCAGGTGTGAGAGTTGTGCCTAATCTTACTACAACAGCTGCAGCGTCGCCCTGCGTGCACCCTCTTTGCTAGCTCCTTACCCTCCTCACATCTGCCACCCTCCCTTTTAGTAATTAAGTCTAATACCTCACTAACTGTTAATATCTCCTCTACCTGTACGTAGCGTCTCTTGCAACTTTTACACTTTATTGCTGCTTTAGTAGCAGTATTAAGGCGCACTATCTCTGCGCATATTAACACTATCTTATAAGCTATCTACTGCGCGCCTTTTGTTAGCTGCCGCACCTACTTATTAAGTAAACTTGCTAGAGACCCTTAATAGATTTTTATCCTGTTTTAAACTAGTGTTAATTGCGCCTCTATTTCTTTAGCGTTGCGCGGTGTTTTTGCCTCCTAAGTGGCGTTAACTTGCTGTGGTGGAGTTTGCGTACGCAGCTGCACATCTAGCTTTGATAACACAGCCTGTGGATTATGTAGAGACAATCTAGCGCCTTAAAACCCTGCGCAAGCATTCTCTCTTGTAAACACCTTCTTAAAAGCTACTTTAAAGGCTAGTAAGAAGGTCTGTTTGCTAATGTAGTTAATGCAATTACGTGCTAAGGCTAAGATCTAATCACTGTACGCGCGCTTTAATGGCGAGAAATAGGCAACGTTAAGTGGCTGCAGGAGGTGCAATGAGTGTAGAGGCATACAGAGGGCAATAATCTTCTTCTCCTTGCAGCGATCCTAGAAATCTATTAAGCAATGGCTCTTGTGGCTGTTAATAATTAGCAGCCTATACGCTCCTACAGGCCTTGCATGCGTATTAAAGTAATTAAGCTAGGCAAGCGCTAGATTGTTGTTTGTCTAGCCTGTTAGGCTTACTTAAATAACCTAATTACATAGGAGGTCCTTAGTAAACTAGTTAGAGATAAGAACCCTGCTAGCAAAGATAAGGAAGGGTAGGATAACACACCCTGTATTAACATAGTCTACTCGCAATTACTAGGCTAAAGCTTCTTCGCTTTCCTAGGTTTCTCTATGCCTGTTACAACAAGTTATAAAGATATCTTACCTATTAGGAAGCTAGACTTGTAAAAGTTATATATATTATTGTCTACAATACTATACTTTGCCTTTATATTCTAAACTAGCGTGAACTAGGGCTTAATAATTGCTAGGTCTTCGCAGAGAGCTCGCTAGTGATTGTATAGACAAGTGCAGCGCGTGCGCAGCTTAGGTGTACGCTTAATAAACCTGTCAACCTAGC